CCCCTTGTTATCTGCCCCACATCTCCTTCTCCTGGTTTCCTTCCTCTTATCTAATAATAGTTGCCTTTCTACTTTCTTATCTTCTTTTTAGATTTCACATATGAGGGAGATCATGCAATACTTGTGTGAGTAGCTTATTTTGCTAACATGATGACTCCAGATCCATTCATTTTCTTTCAAATGACAGAATTTCATTATTCTTTATAGCTGAATAATATTCTATTGTGTATACAGATTGTATTTATTTTATGTAGTCACCTCCTGATGGGAATCTGCTTGTTCTAAATCTCAGCTATTATGAATTGTGCCACAATAAACACAGATATGCAGGTATTCCTATTATATGCTGACATTTTTTACTTTATTTTTTTGTGGTTAGCTCAGCCTACTATGGGGGCAGGGCTTGCATGGCATGTGGTGCCAGGACCAAACCTTGGTCCCTGTGCCTTGCCTAAGCAGGCGCTTTAGACTGCTGAACTATCTTGCTGGCCCCCTTTTTTGTTGCTGTTATTTTTGAGGCAAGATCTCACTATATAGTCCAGGCTGGTCGTGAGCTCATTATGTAGCCTAGGCTGGCCTCAAACTCGAGGCAATCCTTCTACCTTATCCTCCCAAGAGCTGAGATTATAGACATGCATCACCATACCTGGCTTAATATGTTGATTTTGATTGCTTCAGGTATATCCCTAGGAGTGGTTAGCTACTTGATCAAATGGTAGCTCTATTTTAAGGAACCTCCAGACTGAATGTAGTACCTGTAGTAATTTACATTCCTACATGTCATGCAGATGGGTTCCCCTCCTCCAAGTCCTGGCCAATATTTTCTATTCTTGATGACAGCTATTCTGAATGAGGTGAAATGAAGTCTCAATGTGGGTTGTTTTTGTTTTGTTTTCTTTTTTGAGATAGTATGTCACTTTGTAATGCTTGCTGGCCTTGAACTTGTGGAGGACCACCTAGATGATACACTTTGAAAGAAGAGCAATTACAACTCTTGCTGCATAGGTCCTGCTTTACCTTGGTCTTAACCATCCAGCAGAAAAGTATGAAGACGAAATTATAAGAAATAAAGCCATGCTGTTAAGTTGAGCTGTGGGGGACTCAGGTCAATAATTTCTGACATTGCCAGGTAAACAGAAGACCCAATGCTATTATGGGCTACTGGACTCTTTTAGAATATTTTGCTGAGTTTACACACCTATAATATTCAATAACGGAACTTAGAAAAAATGGGGTATACAGATGAATGTCCATTTTGTATCTGTGTATTCAAAGTGGTTGGGATAGATATATAGTTACATTCTGTTAATGAATAGAATGATTTGTTCTAATGGAGTTTGTAAATAGGATCACAAGTCCGCATCTTGTACAGCAATTAACCACTAAGAAGAATATATGCAGTGTATTATTTGTTGAAAAATAAATAAATAAATAAAAATAATAATAAACTAAAAAAAAAAAAAGAAAGAAGAGCAATTATATCCATTCTGGCTAACCCTGCCTTATTTCCATATACTGATACTTCCCATCATTCTCAGAGTCATTCATCATCAAGCCACTACCCTCTTCATAAATTAATAAAATACTTTTTTAGCCCCAGGTCAAGGCCTTTGTTTCAGTTAACTATCATCCCAGCTGGACTTAGGACCTCCTTGGTTCCCCATCATCTGTATATATGTATTTTTATTTTTTTAATTTTTTATTCATCATAATGGTCTTTATGGGGGCTGGGGAGATGGCTCAGTGGAGTAAGAGCTTCCCTGGCAAGCACAAGGGCCTGAGTTCAATCCCTGGTTCCACCAAAAAAAAATTGTCTTTATGTCATGCATTGCACTGGGAGTAACAGATTAGAATTAACAATAATTATTAGAATTGCTAGAATTCCAATAATTTATTCCATGAGGTTACAAATATAAATTTCCCAGACCAAGACAAGGACCAGGAAGGCCCTCTATGTTGAACGCACTATGGACCAGGATGGGCCTGAACTAATGGCAATCCACCTGTCTCAACCTTCGGAGTGCATGCCCAGCTTCAGGGTAGCTCTGATTTGCATTTCCTTAATAGCTACAGATATTGAACCTTCTTTCATATATTTATTGGCCAATTTTTCTTCTTTTAAGATGCGTCCAAATAATTTCTTTATTTTTTAAATATCCTTAATGATCAGGCTCTTTGACATTTTTGTTGAGTTTTTTGAGATCTTCATACACTTTTTTGTTTTTTGAGAGAGGGTCTTGCTTTGTAGTTTAGGCTGTCTGTGAACTCACTATGTAGCCCAGACTGGTCTTCAATTTAAGGTGATCCTCCTGTCTCAGGTCCCAATGGCTGGGATTACATGTGTGCACCACCATGCCTGGCTTCATGTAGGATATTCTAGTTCTGTGAAGACTGTCACTGGTATTTTGAAGAAGGTGGCATGAATTTGTAAATTGTTTTTTGGTAACAGCCATTTTGGCAATATAATATACCCTTGCAAAGTTGCAGTTCAGAGTTCTAAAATTTTGCTAAAACCGCAAATATCCTCCACAATTGTTTCTTTGCAAGAATTGCAAGTAGCCAACCTGAGAGCGTTAGTCAGTTCTCCTTGCTGCTGACTGGCTACTGTCCTGTAACCCATTTCTGGCAGAAGCATCCAAATTTTTGCATTGTAATAGGTTTTTGTACCCCATATAGCATCTTTTCAGTATTTTTTTAAGTCCTAAAATCCCCTAAGATGTCCTGCACCTTCTAAAGCTTTATTAATAATTTTATTAAATTAAGTTGCATAACTGTATACTTAGGGTTGAAACTATACAAATAGGCATGTATAACCATTTTTCTGACTACATGGTTTTTCACAATTTGCAGGTGCTGTAGGAATGTAACCCTCTTGAATTTTGGGGGTCCACTGTATTCTGCCAGTCCATAACATGGGAAGTCTTTTCCATCATCTGGTGTCTTCAATTCCTTTTTTCGATGTTCTCAAATTTTCAGTGTAGAGAGCTTTCTTTTCATCTCCTTGGTTAGACTGATCCCCAGGTATCTTTATCTGAAGCTATTGTGAATGGAGAAAACACTTGAAAAAAAATATCAGGCTGCTATAGAGGAAGCACTGAATACTAACATTTTGGAAGGTCACAAATGCCTAGGGATCTCACTACCTGCACCAGCCCCTTTAGTACTTAGAGCCCATATTTGGGCAGTCGTTTGGTTCACAGGAGGTACCTAACAGCTATGTATCAACTGTAGGTGGAGGCCTTTTAGACTGCCAGGAATTTGTCAACCAGTACACATTTCTCACTCTTTCCTCTAGGGCTAGAAAAAGTCCTAGAACTGTAGGATTAAACTAACGTTTTTCTTCTGCCCAGCTACTATAGAAAGTAGCCTGACCAACCTCTTGGTCAGGAGAGCTGTCTTTTCTTTGTAACAAGTGTTTCTATTATTGTACACAGTACTGTGAAGTTAAGAGTCTCTGGCTGTACCGAGCTACCCAGGGAACATCAAAGAAATCACGAGTTGCACCTCAGGAGCAGATTTAAACGCAGAAGCACCTCATGCTTTAAGAAGCAACCGCACTGTACTGTCTAACCCACACTTACTGCCTCCGCCTTGGTCCAAGGCATCCCAGATGGAGGATCTGAAGCCTACAATGCCTCTACTTGAGAAAGGTTGCCGTGTCAACTTTCCAACGGAAGAGCAAGACGTTAGGTGAGGGAAGGCTTTACATTCACGTTCGGATTCAAGAACTTTGCTTTGCTTCAGTCATAACTCACTACCTGATTCCCCCAAACCAGAGAACAGATAAACACAGATGTCTGTGTTTCTATGGGACAAACCCCTCTTCGCAAAACGGGAGAGGGATAGGGGAGGCGGAGAAGCTAGATTAATAGAAGAAAAAAAAAAAAAAAAAAAGCTGTTTCCGCCCGGTTTCGAACCGGGGACCTTTCGCGTGTGAGGCGAACGTGATAACCACTACACTACGGAAACCACCTTGCAGAGCCCTCCCTCTACCCGAGACCTACAGATTTCAAAGACTAACCGCTATGAACGGCCGGAAGTCCATCAGGACCGGGACTTGTGCCTCTGCAGTGGCCGCGGAACTGTGTCCAGTTCCTGTGACAGACTTCTCCGCGCCAGCAGCGTCTGCAGATCTCTCGTAGATCTCTCGGGCGGAGGCTCGCGGGTTGGGAGCGCTCGGTCTGACGTGCGCAGGCCGGCGCCGAGCAGCTTCACAGGAAGCGCAGAGCAGCGTCCACCTGTAGCTTTTCACCCCGCATCTCCTAAGTGCAGAGCCCCGGCATCGCGCAGTGCCCGACACCACTGGAAATTCGCTGCATAAATCATGGTTCTGTAATTCCTCCCCACTTAAAAATTAAATAAGATACTGAAGTAAACCCCAAGTACTATTTCTATCGCACAAAAAATCAACTGGCAGAGACGTTCTCGGGGAACAGAGCAGCATCTTTACTGTGGTCCTCGGACCAGAAGCATAAATGGTGAACAACTCAAATGGTGTTTTTTGAATGAGTAAATGACACTAAGAGAGTTTTTTTTTTCTTTAAAAAAAAGACATCAGCGTACGGAGATCCCTTTCCTATCCCTCTTGCTCTCGCCGTACGCTAAGCAACGCTTTCACTGCTTTTACACTCTCACAAAACATTGGAAAATGATGACTAAGCAAGCACAGGGATATAAAGATATCAAATACATTTTACGTTCCCTCCCCTTTTTAAAATCAACAACTTGTTCATTTAACACCTTCGGAAGAGGATTCTCTTTTTTACAGCTAAGGCGCGTTCCTCTCATTCATCCTCAACCCGCCCTGACCAGAGGTTTATTAAACCGGCGACACTGGAAGTTTCTCACAGCAGTGCGGAAGCGCCAACTACCGCACGGCTCGGGGGCGGGCTCATCGCTGGCCCCGCCCACCCCGCCCCGCCCCGGGGTCCGCCCGACTCCGAAACGAGGAAGTCCTCGGCCTAGAAGGGCCGGAAGTGCCTCGAGGTGCGCACTGGTAGCCTCCCCTCCACATCCGGTGCGCCAGCCCTGGGGAGTCCCTGGGGCAGTCGTCAGTTCTCGGTTGGTGTCATGGCGCCTGGCCGGTGCGGTCATAACCCCGACAGCTGCCAGCTGCCAAACGGGACCACCGACCCCCATAGTTTTGGAACAGTGGCGGAGGATGGGCAGGGGCGGCTCCATTCTGCCCTCGTGCCCTGCTATTTCGCGTTACGGAGACGTGGGCCTCCAGCGTCCTAGCCTTCCCATCAGCTCCCGAATGTCAGCTAGAGCGTCTCCTCGCCGTTTCCTGTCACCCTGGGGCCCTGGGGAGGGGAAGAAGGGCGTAGCGGGACCGCAGAGGGAACTCGCGAGCTTAGGCGGCGCGCAGACGCCGGAAGTGTTGGGAGGGAGGCCGGAAGGCAGGGGGCGGGGCCAGGAAGTGAGGAGGGGCGGGGGCTTATGAGGAGGCCGGGGGAGCGTTGGGGTAAATTTGCACTCAGGACTTGTCCGTGGGGGCTCAGCTCTGTCCCCTCCCCTCGTAGAGACACGGTTGTCGTCTGGGGGCTGGGACCTCTGTGGAGGGGGCGGGTTGTTGGAAGTTTCCTGGCTACGCTCGAGACAGTGTGCAGAGGCAGGGCTGGGGGTGGGGCCGGGTCTCCAGGGCGTCTGAGAGGGAAGACCCCCCCTCCCCCCGCATCCCCCACCGCACATCTACACTGGCTGACTGGACACTAAGATGGCTGCCGTTGCCATGACACCCAACCCTGTGCAGACCCTTCAGGAGGAGGCGGTGTGCGCCATCTGCCTCGATTACTTCACGGACCCGGTGTCCATCGGCTGCGGGCACAACTTCTGCCGAGTGTGTGTAACCCAGTTGTGGGGCGGGGAGGATGAGGAGGACAGGGATGAGTTGGTGCGGGAGGAGGAAGAGGAGGAAGAGGAGGACGGAGAGGAGGAGGAAGTGGAGGCAGTGGGAGCCAGCGGGGGCTGGGACACTCCTATGAGGGAGGAAGATTTTGAGGGCGACATGGAGGAGGAGGTGGAGGAGGAAGAGGAGGGTGTATTTTGGACCAGTGGCATGGGTGGGTCCAGCTGGGACAACATGGACTACATGTGGGAGGAGGACGAAGAGGAAGAACTGGATTACTATTTGGGGGACATGGAGGACTTGAGGGGGGAGGATGAAGAGGACGAGGAAGAGGTGCTGGAGGAGGACGAGGAAGAGGAGCTAGACCCCGTCACCCCGCTGTCCCCACCTCCAGCCCCCCGGAGGTGCTTCACCTGTCCCCAGTGCCGAAAGAGCTTTCCTCGGCGGAGCTTCCGCCCCAACCTGCAGCTGGCCAACATGGTCCAGGTGATTCGGCAGATGCACCCAATTGCTGGTCGAGGGAGCCGTGTGCACGAGCAGGGTATCTGCCCTAAGCACCAAGAAGCCCTGAAGTTGTTCTGCGAGGTGGATGAAGAGGCCATCTGTGTGGTGTGCCGAGAATCCAGGAGCCACAAACAGCACAGTGTGGTGCCACTGGAAGAGGTGGTGCAGGAGTACAAGGTGAGAGGAGCGAAGAGAGCAGACAGGAGTTCAGTGGGGTGGAGAGAAGTTAAGGGAACGAGACCTCTGTTCCCCTCAAAGAACTTCATGTACTGGTGAGCTGATCTGTCTGAGCACTTAATGGCACCAAGGTAGGTTGGAGTGAGGAGGACCCTGTTCACAGAGAAGATGACAGGAAACAAGAAGGTAGGGCAGTGCCGGGTCCCTAGGCTTTCGTTTTGGGAAGAGGCCACTGCCACACTTTCGCTATTGCTGAGAGTTGGAGTGCAAGTGACAGCTCCTTAAGACTTTACTACCAGTTTGATTTTTTTCTGGGTCAGTATTAAGTCCTTGACTGGCGTTCTTCAAGATGAAAAGAAATGGGGGCCTCAACAAAAAGACTCTGAAATAAGAGCATAGAAATGAGTAGTGTTAGACCCAAGTGCTCTGCACTTGCACCAACCCCATGATAGAGCTTGTTCACCCATGACTTTGGTTGGTACTGGACTGGTCAGATATACTGACCAGAAAAGAGGAAAAGAAGCTTTTTATTTATTTATTTATTTTTTTTTTTTTTTACTATTTAAATTTTTGAGACAGGATCTCTGTGTAGTTCAGGCTGGTCTTCATCTCTAACCTTGACTGGCTTCAAAGTGGAGGTGATTCTTCTGCCTCAACCTCCCAAGTAGTGGCAATTAGAGGTGTTCGCCACACCTGGCTTCTTGAGAGAGGCTCTTTATTAAAAAAAATTTAATTTTTCTTTTTGAGACAGGGTCTCGTTATGCAGTTTGGTTTGGCCTTATGCTCACTTTTTTTTGTAGCCCCAAAGCTGGTCTCGAACTCGCAAAAATCTTCCTCACTGAACCTTCTGAGTGCTGGGATGACAGGCATGCACCATCATGCCAGGTTCCTTGAGAGAGGCTTTGAAGGCAGTGACTCTACCTCACTTTCAAATCTTGGTGATGTTGCTGAGTGTCTCTGAACTTTTAATGTTCCTAGGATTAACAGTTAATGCAGTATTTACTGGCTGCTTAATGTACAGTGCACTTTTCATGGGTTATCATAGAAAAGTCAACCGTCCTGGAAGTTTAATGTTTTCTTTTCCCACTTTACATATTGGGAAACAGAGAAATTTAAGTACTGTTGACAGGGTCACATGCAACACTCGTGATGGACTTGGTTATGACTATTCTTCCCCCCGGGATATACTGTTTATAATGACACCATAATCTTTTTGTTTGCTTTTACTTTGAGTTTTCTGAGATGTGACCTTTTTTGGAGTCTACTTCTAGTTTAGTTAATGTCTTGCTTCCTACTTTGATTCAAACTCTTTGAAAGTAAATAAAAGAGATTTGTTTATTGGTCACTCAGCACAAATAGCACTGCTTTCCAGTGACCTGAGTGGGCTTTGAAGCAGTAGGACCGGAAGAAAGATAAGGTAGTCTCTGTTTAGTTTACACAGAGCTCTTTTATTTTGACTGGTGTTTTTACCTCTAAAAGACATTCTGATGCTTTCATTCACTTAATTTTAAGGACTATTATTATCACCATAATTTTATTTTTTTTTTTGGCATAACTGGGGATTGAACTCAAGCCCTTGCACTTGCCAGGCAAGCGCTTATTCTACTGAGCCATCTCCCCAGCCCCTACCACCACTTCTTTTTTTTTTTTTGAACCAGGGATTGAACTCAAGTCCTTATGCTTGCCAGGGAAGCGCTTATTCCACTGAGCCATCTCCCCAGCCCCTCATAATTTTTTTTAATAGGGTCTTGCTAGGTAGCTCAGGCTGGCCTTGAACTCTTCCTGCCCCAACCTCAAGAGTTCTGGGATTGCAGGCATTTGCCACCACAGCCAGCGTCATTACAGTTTTAGAGTAATGTGTGTGAGATTTCTTAGCTCTGAGTGGTAAGAGAAACTGTCATCACTTCATCACACTGCACACAGTGCTTGTCAAGCGTGGTTGATTATGAGAGTTACTAAGAGAAATTGTCAAAGTACAGTTACCTCTACACTAGGGATTCTGAATCAGTGAAGAGAAATGTGTTTAGAAAGTCCAGCCTAATTGAGTGTGATGATGTGCATTTGTAGTCCTGGCACTCTGGGAGGCTAAGGCAAGAGGTTGGCCAGGTTTGAGCCCAGCAAAGCCAACAGGGAGTCTTCATGCGACCCTGCCTTTAAAAAAAAAACCCAAAAAACAAAAAACTTAGGATGTAGCTCAGGGTAAAGGCCCTGGGTTCAATCATGGAAATTACTGCATTAACACAGCCTGCCTGATACCCTCTACTTCAGCAGGCTGTCAGGAATTTTTGTCCTTTTTGTATTCCCTCAGCTCCTAACTACTTGTACATTGTACAATGTATGATGTGTTTGTTAACTAGAATGCAGGGCAGACTATTCATGGATGGTCCTGACTTTCCTGTTCATCTGTACACTATAGTACTTCCAAAGAGCTTCTGAAACTGGATTTTAATTTGTATTATCCACATCTGTTGAATGCCTGATTCCTGAAAACCTTATCCTAAAGTTGATGAGGAATCAAAGAAGTCATAGTCCCTTTCTTGGGCTCTTCAGTTTGAAGCCAGATTAACAGTTAATCGGACATAAACTGATTAGCAAATGTAAATGTGTAATACACTATGTTATATAAATATAACTTGAGTGAGTCCCTTTCAGATTTATAGGCTATTTTATAGTTAGGTGATTCTTCTTGTGCCTTAGCATCAACTTGGCACAGTGTTCTGTAGAAATATTTTCTTATTGAATGGATAATAAATTGTACATAAACAATTCTCTAAAAAGTTAAGTGTCTTTGAAAATTTCTCTTAAATAGCACTCGGAAATTGATTTCTGTTTAGGAATATTTGTCAGGGATTTAAGAATATTAAATGGTAAATTTAAGAATTGCAAATTCTGAATTAGTGGATTATAAATTATTGACTACTATGAAGAAACAATATCAAGAGACAAAATTATATTATTGTAATACAGTAATTTTATTGTAAGTTTTTGTAGCCAGTTGTGCAACAACTGCCTTTTGTACTTTGGTTCTGTAACTTCTTTAGTTCAAGGTTAGTTCAGGATGTCCCTGGCAGCTTCCTACTTAGGTAGCAAATGTTAAATAATATTTACTGATTTTTTTTGCCTGACACTGTGGTAAGTATACCATCCATGAGGTTGCCATTTTAAGCTGAGGAAACTGGAAGCATGGCTTATTTCAAATCACTAAGCTGTATTCCTGACCTGATGGGAGTCTAGACTTGAGTTCTATCCTGATATTTTCCCCCAAGGAAGACACTAACAAGACAGTAGTAGACAGAAAAAAGAAATAGGTGGGGCTTATTTCATATATCTTAGTCTCTCTAGTAGGTCTGTTTGTTTGAGCTAGGGTTTCACTATGTAGTTCAGGATGGCCTTGAACTTACTTTGTAACTCAGGCTGGCCTTGAACTCTCAGTGATCCTCTTGCCTCAGTCTTCTGAGTGCTAGAATTACAAACATGGATATGCCTTGTTCTAACAGGCTCTTAAAGAAAAAAACTTAGCTACAGATTGTTGGAATACAAAGATCCATGTGCCCAATTGCTGTAAAAATTATAAATTTGAAAGAAAGCTGTGCATGGTAGCACATGCCTATAATCCTGCACTCTGAGAGACTGAGGCAGTAGGATTGCAAACTGAAGCCTACCCCGAGCAATTTAGTGACTAAGTGAGAGCCTGTCTCAAAAGGGCTGGGGACATAGCTCTGTGTGAAGGCACTGGGTCCATTAACCAGTACCAAAAAAAGGCAGGGGAGAGAAGAGTTTTGTTTTTATTTTCCATTTAGTAATTAAGCAGAAGAAAAAGCAGACAGAAATCTAAGTATTAGATGGAGGCAGGGACCCAGAAGTGCCCTGGGAGAAATATTTTTTAAAATTAGTAGTGCCATGGGAAGTAGTGTGAAAATTTTATTCCAGTTTCTTTGAGATCACAGAAGAACTTGGGGACAGGGGCAATCAAGCCTATGTCATGGAGATGGCTTTTAATGGAATACTGCGCTGGATGAAACTATACTTAAGAAACAATAGGTTGTTGCAGAGTGTGCTTGCTTGTAATTCCATCACTTAGGAGGAGGATGAGGCAGGAGTGCCACAAGTTCAAGGCCAGCTTAAACTATGTGGTGAAACCTTGTCTCAAAAAAAAAAAAAAAGCAAAATACTATTTTCATGATAAGTTAAAAAGGGATGGTGGAGGAGGTAGGGCCAAAAATGTAGGGTGAATAATTTGGAAATGATAGAGAACCACTGAAAGATTTTTAGCTTGGGCCCAAGATCCTGAGAAAAAAATTTTAAAGAAGAGCAACAAGAACTTTGTGTGGTAAGAAGCTTAATCCATGTTCATCTCAACTATTGATTGTGGAGCTCTGTAGCCCCAAGGATCTCATCTTTAGAGAGTGCACACAGTACTTATGTATGTGAGAATAGGGGAGGTTGGATTGGAAGCTTTTTTGTCATCTGAGAGAACAGGGAGGAAAGGCTTGACACCTATCCTGAGTTATCTAGCTTTGAGACCCAAGGCACTCTAGGGAGAATTGGAGAGATAGGCTTTGAAGGACAGGGTCCTCTCCTGGCTTGCACCTCTAACCTTCCCTTTCCTATTCCCTCAGGCCAAACTGCAGGGGCATCTTGAACCACTTAGGAAGCACCTGGAGGCTGTGCAGAAGATGAAGGCCAAGGAGGAGAGGCGAGTGACAGAGCTAAAGGTGGGTGAATGTACTGCATCAGGCTAACTGATTTTCTGGTCAGGGCAAAGAAAATGAGGCTGCCCATCACAAGTGGTGACTAGATTCTCAGGAAGGGACAAGGCCTGGAAGAAGGGTAGATGCTTTTCCAAGGATCTGAGGAAATGAGGAGCCTTTAAGGTTTAGGAAGCATGTTACTCGCTAGGTTCCACAGTAGTGAAGAAGCCTGGCTTGACAATGCTAGGAGCCTGGCCCAAGGCTTTCTATCCAGACACCTAACCCATGACAGTGGGAAAGAAAGGGTTAAACCTATCAGAGAAGCCCCAGGTCACAGGATAGATACAGGCAGGTTGGCTGAGCAACTGTGAGCATGAGATGTGGTCCTGGGAGGCTTTTGATGTCCCAAAAGCGGCCCAAGGTGTGTAGGGGAAGGGAGGAATTAGTTAATACTGGCATGGTAGGACCTACTATTTCATTGGTTAGTGTTTCTCAGCCCTTTTCCATTGTTGCTCAACCCTCCCCATGGCATCTTTTAAAACATTTTCTTATTAATTCCCATCACCTCCTGCATGCTTTGGTAAGACCAGCAGCCCTGCTGGAATAGACTGGCATTATGAGCTACAGACTAAGCCAGGAACATTTGTTTCTGCCCCTTCTTTTCCAGCACCTGCCTCTGTGGTCAGAATCTAAAATTGCTACCCATACTCTGGTTTCTCTTCAGATTATATAAATCTTTTATCTTTTTAAAAATTGCCACTTCGGGCTGGGGAGATGGCTCAGTGGAATAAGTGCTTCCCTGGCAAGCGCAAGGGCCTGAGTTCAATCCCTGGTTCTGCCAATAATAATAATAATAATAAATTTTAAAAAATAAAAATTGCCACTTGTCATTGCCATCTGCCCATCTGAGTCTGGAATTTGGGGAGTGGTCCTGCCACTGACCAATGGCCCAAACTGATACTTTTGAGCTCTCTGGAATGCAGAGATGTGCCAAGATCAGAATATCATTAAATCAGAATGACACTGACGTGATAGCTGTTTCCCTCACCCAGTTGACCTACAAGATCTCCTTCGTACTCTGCCTACTCTTTGTCTGGATAGTAATAGATGAAAAATGTGCCCACTTCTAAAGTTGCTCCAGGCAAACTGGGTTGTGCTAGCCAGAGTTTTCTGTATGCAACAGAGTTGGTCCTTTGTATCCATGGGATACACATCTATGCATTCACCCAAGTTTGGATTGAAAGTATTTAGAAAAACAACTGGATCTGTACTGAACACGTACAGACTGTTTTCCTTGTCATAATTCCCTAAACAATACAGAACAGCTATTTGTATAGCATTTACATTGTCTTTGATATTAAAAGTAATATAGATATGTTTCAAATATATAGGAAGATGTGTAGGTTATGTGCAAATATGCCACTTTATATAAGGGACTTGAGCATCTGTCAGTTTTGTTATTCTGGAACCAAACCCTCCTGACTAGCTAATGACCCTGCACCCACCCTTGATTTTTGTCTCTAGGCCAACAAAATGTAAAATACTATCTGACCTTTAGAGGAAGAGGTCTGGTTCTTCGGCCAGGGAGACAGTTCAAAGCCCAGAGTTTGATTCCTAGTACCAACAACAAACAAAAAAGAGTTCTGATTCCTGATCCAGAGGGCTTGAGTGACTGTGTGTGTGTGTGTGTGTGTGTGTGTGTGTGTGTGTGTGTGTGT